AGAGCTAAGGCAATATTACATCTTGGCTATGAGATAGCTAAAGGCATGGCAGGAAGTTGAAAAAAGTGATACCTTTACCATCTGGAAGTTTAATAAATCTAGAGAGAAATTAAGATATGTGAAATATCATATTTCAATGGGATCACTTTAACTCAGCTGGAGCTTTGACTAAATTCTTCAGTATAAACCATGAAAGTATGGCAGCAAAGCTCACCAAATGAATTTTGATAAGCTGAACTCTAACTTCCCATTGATTTTCCACATTTCCACAGGGAAGATGGGATTGGTGGAGGTCAAGAGAACTGGTGAGAAGCTTTCACCACCAGTTGTGAAATAGACCCCATATTTTAAAACACCATCAGCATGGTGCCCATGGCTTGCAGAAGTTTCTGCTCCTGCAAGGCAAAATTTTCTTTCTAGCCCAGTGACTGGTTCCTCACAGGACCTTGGCACTGAATGAGTGCCAAATGGCTGAGTGAAGAGCCATAGTACTTACTGCCCAGAGGGTGGTGTGATTTAAAATGCTTTGAGAAGTCTGCAGTCCTTTCCAATGCTCAGGTCAAGTCTACTTTGTTCAAGTAACCCTGTGAACATATGCAAACATACACACACACACCCATACGGGTTTCTCTTTTACAAGAGACTCAACTACTATGAAATTATAAATAAGTCACCTGATTCTCATATGAAATTGTGCATCAGAACTGACAGTCTGAAGAAAATTTGTCCCTGGGAGAAGATAGCTAACATTTCAACAGGAATTTCATTAGTATCTACTCTGTGCCAAGGACTGTTATAGGGATGAAAAATTGCCCCAAAAGTCCCTGATATGAGTAACTTGCTCATCTCAGCATTTATACTCTGATTGATAGGCTAAGACAAATATGTAAAATCATAGAGAACTTCAAGTTCTTCATCTGACAAAATGTGTAGCACATACTTTGTGTGATTGGGATTAAGAAAGGTTAGTGTAATTTGGAGAGTAGTTGCTGAAATTTCACAGAAGGTTCATTGGGAATGAAGTGATACTGAATTGTCTAGTGAAGCTGCAGTGGCTTGTAGTTAAAGAATGGGAAGGTTTTTAGATTAAAGAAACATGAATTTAAACCTTGCACCGGTTCTCCTCTTTCTGCCATTTGATCTCAATCTTTCTAAACTAATTTTCTCCTTTCTAAAGCTGGAATAATCATAGAGCTATGGAGAGGGTTAAGTGAGAGCATGCCTGTGTTGTACTTGGCACCACACATGATATTTCATGATGCACATGAAGTCTTCAACAGGAAGATAAAAATACACATTCAGCTTGGGTTGCGATTCATGACAGCAAGGGCCCCATACACACTCAAGATTCAAATTCAAGGCACAGAAGTGACAGATGAAACCCCAAGAAAAGATGAGCTCTTGGTAGGGAGACAAAACAAGGACTGAGGGAGCAAGATCCCAGGGAATATGTAGATGTATCAGTCTGAGTACCTTTATTTCTCTTAGTGTGACACTGAAGCTAAAGTCATGGCCTCACTCCCTATATCAGAGATCATTTTTTCCCCTTCCTAGATTCACTGTGACAACCACTACCCTTATAAGTCATGATGAAGAAGAAAAGTGCAAATTCATTACCACTCCAAGCTTTTGCTCTACCGACAGTCACATTTGGTACCCAAAGTATAGCATGCAGTTATGACAATGCTATACAGAAGTCAGAAATCACCAGTGTGGGAGGAGATTCAGGAGACACTATTCATTCACTCATCTAGCAAAGACACACCAAGTATCTACAAAATAGGTCTGATCTTGTATTATTAATGGCTATAGAACGACAAAGTTAAATATCACACAATCCTGTCCTCAGGAGTGCAGACTCACAAACTGTCACAAATCCTGTGCCATGTTGAGTGGAGGACATCCACTGCCAATGCCAATAGGTAGAAAGTGCCCACCCAGCCACACTGAGCAGTTGTTGATGCCACCACTGACACAGTGGCTGTTCTTAAACTCATCAGTCAGGGAGCAAAACAGAAGAGGCTTGCTCCTGCTTTTCCTGCCCAGCCCTCCTTGGCATGTTCTCTTATTAGCATGTTATCCACCCTCCTGATAGTAATCTTAGCATGAATCTTAGCCTATGCAATGCTTCTGACTCACCTGAATGTTCTTTCATTACTCTGTCTCAGGTTCCTTCAGAGGCAGCTTTTCCAACCTTCACCCTGTCCTCGGAGTCTGTCTGTGTCACCTCCACCTAGAACTCACTTATTAGCACTGCTCACTCCCAACTCTTGGCCTTGGAACTGCAGGGAAAGCTCCAAGCTTCCTTTAGGGCTTCTTCCCCACATTCCCCCCAGTCCTGGGATACATTCAGAGGTGTGTCCCTACACAGAGGTGTGTCTTCAGAGATGGACTAAAGAGGCTTTGTGCCACAGTGTGAGAAGGAGTCTAAGCAAAAAACTATAAGCAATTAAGTGTTTCATATATGTATTTAAACTAAAAGCTATAAAACTTTTTTAAATGATAGTAGTATGTGCGAAGAATGCTTAGAAATATCTGCATTTTTGACTCATTTTATTTGATAAATGTGAAAATGCTTTGGATTAACAGGTGAAAATACTATGATGTTGAACTCTGTGCAGAGCGTGAGGAGGGAACCTCAGAACTGAGTATGTTTAGCAGCAAAAAGATATCTGAATGATAAGCTTTGCTACTTCCTTCCTAGCTGTGTGACCTTGGTCAAGGTATCAGACTTTGCTTTGCCTCTGATTCTTCATCTTTAAGACACGGTTAATATTAGTAGCTAACATGGTAGAGTTGTTCTGGGCCTTTTGTAAATAAAATACTTAGCATCAGTTGTTGAATTGGGTAGACTGTCACTGCTGGACCTGAAGGGGCAGGGATTCTGAGGACTATGGAGGAGAACTATAGTGTACTAAAAAGAGTACAGAATGGGGGGAATAAGGCAGAGGATGAAAAGAAAAGCAGTTTGCTGGCAAAAGGAAGGGATGTCCCCTCAGGAATAAAGAAGACATCCTTACAAGAATTTCCCTACTGGTAGACGCTCATTTTCTAGCCCTTCTTTACAAGCTGTTTCTATGATGCTTTCCTTAAGAAGCTTCTGAGACAATACACTCATTGAAAGGGGGAATCTAAGCCATAGAACTCTTTGCCTATGACTCTAATGGTCTGAGGAGCAGGGATGAGATGAGGAGGTGGTTGACCGAGCAGCTGCTAAGGAGGCAAGCACATCCGACCCTCCCTGTCCTGTTGTGCTTGAGTCCCCACAGGACTCACAAGACTGCCACAAACCTGACAAGTTAGAGTGGTGATGCCTGCCCCTGCCAGTTGCTCTTTGCTAACTTCACCCAGGAGTTGAGGTTCAACGTGGCCCTCATTGCTGGGAAGGGACAGAAACACGTTGAGTTCTGGAGAGGTAGATGAGCAAAGAGGTAGATAGGCAACTGCTCACTGGCCTCTAGCATGGATGGTGGGCTTCTCCCCACACCCAGCGTCACTGATGCTGTGCACTACCTCAAAATTGAAGGAGTATCCCACCACCCAGACTGGGCACATCAGGAAAGTGTGCTTGGCACCTACCAAACAAGTTACTTGCCCTTTCAAGTCACAGGAACATTCAGAGCCTTTGCCACAGTCCCTCTGCCTTTCTGTAGTCACAAAAATGTTTGCTCACTAGCCACAATTCAAAAGATTCCCTGGTTACTGGTGGGAGCTTCCATCAGGTACTTAGGTATGGACAACATGACCCCCTTCCTCCCACCCACACCAGGAAGGAGGCTAGTTTTGTGTGATGAAATAGCAGAAGTTGGATAGCACCATGGAAAAAACCAATTATGTCTTGATCTCAGCCTCTCTGACTGCTCCTTAGTAACTCAGACCAGAACACTACTGCTGTAGCCAAAGGTACTCACGTGCCTTAGTCCTTGTTCGAACACAACGTGCCTGCACAGACTAGCTGGGTGCTGCGGGTGGTGCTGGCTTGGAAGAGGATGGCACTGTGGTACTGTCCCGGGGCTGAAGGAAGACTTCGAGCACCTTCCACAAGTCCCTGGATGTAATGACTTTCACTTGTGAACTCTGAGCCCTGAAGCCCAGAGCATTGGCTTAACACTGGGTTTTGTGTTATGCTGCTATGAACGTCCACCTGAGTTGGGGGAGAGGAGGAGGTAGAATTAAAAACAAAATGTAGCAATAGTTTAATCCCAGACAGTTGAGAAATACATTGTTTTCACTTCAGTGGCTTTTAATCCTGTTTATGAAGTTTGTTTTTTCTGTGTGTTTTCTCTTTTTGCCAAAATCAACTGCTTGGTGAAGCCCTTAAAACCTCCTAGCTGTGTATGCATTAATGTTTCAAGCCAGCACAGGAATATTGGAAGCTGCTTTATAACAAGCTGAGGTTGGTTGTTCAAATCTGTGTGTAAAGAGGATAAGGTGGAGCATGCAGAGTGCTTCCTGTTGAGTCTGATTCTGCTCAGACTGGTCCAGGTGCCCCCTAGGGGTTGCCATGGCTGGGGCTGGCATTGATCTTGGGGATGCCTCCCTCCCCAGACCATTTCCCCTGTTATTAGTTAATCTCTTTCCATATTGGAAAAAGAATTCTGATGGTCTCAGTCAATAATCTTTGAAGAACACAATTCCAGCTAAATATGGTTTGAAGGATAGAGGTGTGATCACCAGGAAAGAAGGGGGACCAAGTTGGTTTGTTGGCCCAGGCTGGGGCACTGACCACTAGTTAAACTCTCTGTTGGACTAGTAGTGCGTATCTGAGCAACCAGCATTCTAAACTTTTCGGGCAATCTTTTCCCTGGGCCCCAGGGGAGGAGTGCAGGAAGGCAAGGCAGGAGGTTGGAGTGCCCCAACCTCCAAGTGCCACAGTCAGCTCCTGCCAGATCCTGCAGAAGCCAATGAGCAGTTTTCTTGGGCCCAGTGCCCTGAGTCCAGGAACCTACAGAATTCCTGAACGCACAGCCCACAGGAGATTTTTCTGTCTTTTTCTACAGTGATGAGGTGTCTCGGGATCCCCACCCGTGTGATCACCAACTTTGATTCTGGCCACGACACAGATGGAAACCTGATCATAGATGAGTATTATGACCACACAGGCAGGATTTTGGAGAATAAGAAGAAAGACACTGTCTGGTGAGAGAGAACCTCTCAGATTCTTTTTAGGGCAAACCCCACCAACAATAGGAGATATGGCGGGGCATGATAACAGCTGTCTCATGCCTGCCCATCCATCACCACCCCCAGGACCTGAGGTCCCAACCCTAAGACTTGGAGATAGCTGAACATAAAAACAATCATTCTGGGTTTAGAACCCTCACATCACAAGCTCTCTCTTTGTCTCTTGACAAAGACTGATTTTACCTCATTGTCACCACCATCATTTAGCCTGTGGGTATAACCAGAGGAGGGCCTAAAATCTTGCGTCTTACCCAAGACACAAGGCTTGACACCTCTGTGAGCCAGCAACACACACAGAAAATGATGATCTTTTTGAGAATGAATGAAGGATTATTAACTTCATTTTAGTCTGGAAGCCTTCAATGGATTCACAAACAGGTTCGGCAGATGAAAGCACTTTTCTGTACAAGCTGAGGTGCACAGGAGGAACAGCTGTCACCCCCTCGCCCAAAAGGTTAAAGTCCTAGAGTGTGCTAAGTCTTTCTCCCTAGTGACCCATTCACTCATCCATCCCCTAGGGGTTTTGCTCCAGAAAGAAAACAAGCACCACAAACTCTTTCAGCTTCACTTTACACCTATTCGATTCTTTGGCTTCTCTCCCTAGGAATTTCCATGTCTGGGATGAGTGCTGGATGGCTCGAAAGGATCTCCCTGCTGGATATGGAGGCTGGCAGGTGCTGGACGCCACCCCACAGGAGACCAGCAATGGTGAGGCACTCCAAAAGAGAAGCAGAACCTGCTCCCACAGCGACAGCCTCTGCCCCTGCCTGGCCCTCCAGCAGCAGCCCATAGAGACTCTTCTGTTCTCCTTCAGGCCTCTACTGCTGCGGCCCTGCCTCAGTCAAAGCTATCAAGGAGGGAGAGGTGAATCTGAAGTACGATACACCCTTTGCCTTTTCCATGGTGAATGCTGACTGCATGTCTTGGCTTGTGTATGGTGGGAAGGAGCAGAAACTTTACCGGGACACAAATTCTGTTGGCAATTTTATCAGCACCAAGAGTATCCAGAGTGATGAGCGGGATGACATCACAGAGAGCTACAAGTATGGAGAAGGTACGACTGAGTTGGCATCACCCAGGGGCCGAGTCCAGTGAGCACCTTCCCCCTACTCCCTGGAACTGTCCAACCACCTGGGACAGGCCTCTGGGGAATCGGAGGGTAAACACTGGCAGGACCCAGGTGAACTGCAGGGTCCCCAACCCTTCAACTTTAAAATCTTAATTGGGGTGTTTCCCTGCCTCATTTCCTCTACCCCCATGTCTCCCACACAAGCCAGTGCCCTCCATGGGATGCTCACATTGAGTGTGGGGCTATAGAAAGATACTCCACCAACAGTGTATCACTCTTTCTCTCCTAACTTCCCCCCAAATCAACCTCTCACAAAAGATGGCAGAGGAATTAGTAACTCTCTCCTATTAACTTAATTTTATTTAAATAGTTGTGTTTTATACATATTTGCAGGATAGGCTAGACCACCAGGCTCCCCTGAGGCTGATGTAAGCTCAAATGTCTATTGATACTAACACCCCCTACGTAGGATGGTTCTGAGAAGTGGACACCTGGCAGGGGCTTCTTTCCCAAGCCAACAGAGGCAGAAGCAGAGCTAATTAGTCAGATGTAGACTAATTCCTGGGAATTGAGAAAACCAACCACTAGTGAGTCAAGCAAATGTCTTCAGCCCACAGGGCTAGTAGCACGGTGTGAGACAGGATCTGACCAGGAATGGATCAAGGTGTAGTCAGTAGGTAGCTGAGAGTGCTGGGGAGTGGGGTGTCTGTTTTGGGCCTTTAGGTGGACACAAAGAAAACTCCAGAATCAGATTAGGATGGGGCTACATCGTAAATTAAAAAGTACTGGATAAAGCTCAGTGGTACTGTCCATCATTCCTTCCAATCCCCATCTACTCTGGGGATATTTTGGTTCAAGAGTCCAGAAACAAATCCTGAAGTGAGGATGTGCATACAAGTGTTTTACCCTTGAGGCAATCCAAGAAATACTGGGAAGGAGGAGACAGAAAAGGGAAGGAAGCTGATGCATGGTGCCACTTCAAGCCTATTAGCAGATGGGCAGCCAGAGTTCAGTCCTGCTTTGGACCTCTTAAGGTGGGTTGTTCTAATGTTAGTATCAAGTTATTTGTTGTTTATCTGAAATTCAAATTAAACAGCCACATGTTTTTATTTGCTATAACTGGCAACACTGTCAGGGATTTAGTGTGAAGTATAGAACACCTAGGCTGTATCCTACTTAAGAGACAACGGCACTAGATCATTGATCCGCCAACTCCTGTCCATCAGAGGTTGAGGGTTGCTCCATGGGGGTGTAAATTCCCTAGCACCTATGGTCTACACCTCTGTGTGGGCTGTGTCAGCTCTGGTGGCAGAAAATACCTTGAAGAAGCAAAAGTGCTAGGATTTGAAATCAGGCACATGGGCACTTGCATGGCAAATGTTAAGAGATGTGGGTAGGGCATTGACAGTACTTACTAGAGATACATGAGTTCACCTATAAATTTGGGGGGTGAGAACTATATTATGGTGCATAGGAGTGTCCTGAACAGTCAAGCAACAAGTTGCGCCTTAAACCATACAAGGGTCAAGGGGTGCTGACTCCCTAAGCAGTTACCTAAACTTAGTTCACCTAAGTTATACTTGTCAATTCAAGTATAACTTTTGATTCCCCAAAAACTTAACTACTAAATGCCTGCTGTTGATTGGAAGCCTTACCATTAACATAGTCAATGAACACATATTTTGTATGTAATGTGTATCATGTACTGTATTCTTACAACAAAGTAGAAAATGGAAAATATTACTAAGAAAACCATAAAGAAAATACATTTGCAATTCTGTATATGTGGATACCTTAAGTTTATGTCATCTGTTCACAAGATAAACCATCTCTCAGAACCTATATCAACATTGTCTTATATGATACAAAACATTTGTCACTGTTATATGTATATATTACTAAAAGTAGACATCAAAATGGAAATTTGAAACTCATTTATTTACAGGTATAGTGACTCATGCATTGATATTTCTTGAAAAAAGAAATACAATATAAGTGGACCTGCACAGCTCAAATCCATGTTGTTCAAAGACCAACTGTATTCTGTCTCCTCCTATCCAGACTGACAGAATTGAGGGTTAAGCAGACCACAGAGTTGCTAAATGTGCTTCACATTTCTCTGGGCCCAATCTAGTGAAGCCCATGTCTCAAGCTACTCTTCCATCTGGACCTGTGCTTAAAATGACCCAAATCTAGGGGACAAAAATGACCTCTGCCTAGGGAGGTTGCAGGAATGCACCGAAGAGTGGCGTTGATCCTTCGCAATAGTCAGTGCTCAATGAAGGCAGCTGCCAGGACTTGAGGCATACAGGACTGGGATTCCCACACAGCCTCCCCGGGACTGACCACTCCGGGAACTCAGTTTCCCTGAATTTCCTTTCACTTACTGTGGCTTCTCAGCTTCTCAATTTCTAGGTCTTAGGCTACTCCTGACAATAGTTTGGTTCTGGAGATCATATCACACCCTGTTGTCTTTCAGAGTTTTATTCCTCTGCTTTTTCTTGGTGAAAGTGGATAGAATTTACTGTGTTATAAACAGATTGTCAAATTGGGGAGATTTGGTTTCCAACTAGACTCTATCCCTTTCAAGTTGTGTGGCTTGGATAGTTAGATGACCTCTCTGAGGCTCGTTTTCCTCATCTGTATGTGGAGTAATAATAAGAATATGTCTCTATCATGATGGGTGTGAGGATGAAAGGTGAAAGGGCTCAGCAGAGCCTGACCCTGGGAAAGCACTTGAATAGTGGGGATTGTTTGTTAATGGAAATGAAGGGGCTTCTTTTATTTTTTTTTAATATAATAGTTTATTTTTACATTATCTTGTGCCCTTTTCCATCTCAGTTATAATCCCCGTGGGCTTCCCATCACCAAATCACCCATGTACCATCACCATAGTCCTGTGCACCGCCCCCGCCCCCCATTCCCCACGCCACCCCCATAAAATGTCTCTGGTACATAGTTATTGGTTATTATTTTTTTCCCCTGGCCCTTTATGTTCCTGCTATGAGTGGAACCATCCGGTATTTCCTTTTTTCTTTCTGGCTTAGTAAATGAAGGTTTTTAAGACCTTGTAGTAATGGATGAGCTGCTGGGGAGAATATTTAACCAAGGCTTACTCTTCCCCACCAAACGTCAGTCTGGCCCACAGTTAATGCTGTGCTCTTAACTTTCAGGTTCCCCCCAGGAGAGACAGATATTTCTGAAGGCACTTCAGAAGCTGAAGGCTGGAGGGATCCCAGGTACCCAGCCAGCAGAGTCACAACCCTCTGGTCCCAGGCCACGGAGTGGGGCCAGCCCTCGGAGCATGGAGGCACCACCCCCTCCTTCACCCAGTGACGTTGTTCAGGTCTCCCTGAAATTCCAGCTGCTTGACCCACCCAACATGGGCCAGGACATAAGGTTTGCCCTGATTGCTATCAACATATCACCCAAGTTCAAGGACCTCAAAGTGAACCTGAGTGCTCAGTCCCTGCTGCATGATGGTAGCCCCTTGCCCCCATTCTGGCAGGACACAGCCTTCATCACACTGTCTCCTGGTGCAGGTATGGACACTGGGTATGGGCACAGGGATAATCTATGTTCAGGGTGGGAGGTGAAATGCTAGCAAGGTTGTCAGACAACAAGGGTTCTGGGGCCAGACCCCTGCAACAAGGCTTTTCCTGCTCCTCCCCTCCTTCATTCTCTTCTTCTCCTGCTTCTCCTTCTCTCCTTAATTCTCCTCCTCCCTTCATTTACTATGCCAAGTAAAGTAGCCTGGTTTAATGGGAAAAGGCTGAGCTTTATAAATGGCCAGACCTTGGTAAAAGCTTCATTTTACCCATTAACTAGCAAAGTGACCTTGGGCAAGTCATTTTACTTCTCTTCACCTCAGTGGTTTCATAAGAAAAACTAGTATCTGCTTTATGGGGGCCCAGAACATGTTATAGAAGGGACCCCAACTCCAACCCATGCCACGCTGATTTTCCATCTAGCCTTGCCTCACCCCATTCTTGTGTTCTCTCCCTAGCAAAGAGCCATCCCTGCCAAGTTCCCTACTCCCAGTACAGCCAGTACCTGTCAACAGACAAGCTGATTCGCATTAGCGCTCTGGGCGAAGAGAAAAGCTGTCCTGAGAAGATCCTGGTGAACAAGATCATCACCTTAGCCTATCCAGCCATCATGATTAATGTAGGCAAGAGCCCTGCAACTGGCCTGGGGGTTTCTTGGGATCTGACTGAGAAGGATAGAGGACCCTGAGAGAGCAACCCAGCCTATTGAAGAGGATAGCATTTCTTTCTTTTGCTTCTTCTGGGTCCCCCCCCCCCCACCAGAAATAGGAGATTTACCTGAAAACACAAGGTGAGGTCTCCATCATCTTGAACCATTAGAGGCCTTTTAGGTGAAACTCAAGCAAATGTGAAGCAGAGGTCAGAAAGAGGTCCTGCTCTTGTTCCACGTCCCAATGTTGGCCTTCCCTGGGGTCAATATGAAGAAATATGAGCTTATGGGATGGACCTGAGTAGGGAGAAGAGGATCAGCTCAGGTTTGAGATGCAATTTCTGAATGATGCATCCCTGGACAAGCCACTGGGCCTCTCTGGAAATTGTCAAATCAGAAGATTTGACTAGATGGCCTCTGAGGACCTTGCCTACTCTGATGTTTGTGGTCCACCGAGTGGGAAGACATTGTCCCTTCCTTATAGTGATGTCTCCCATGAGACTGTGGTGCCCCCTGGTGGGGTGCTTCTGGCAAGCCCTGTCACTGGAGTCCATTTTAGAGAGGGTTTCCAAAAGTTTCCTGGGGCTACTTTCGTCTCTGTCTCATAGCATGAGCCTTTTGATCTTCACTCACACATTGGTGTGAAATGAAATGAGCTAGGGAGATAGGAAAGGGATGGAGTGGAATTCAAAAAGAGAAAACAAAACAAAAACTGCAAAAGATTTTATCCATATTACTCACAAAAATTCTTTCAGAACTCTTGCTTTTTTTCACATTTGGATGAGATCTTTGGGGCAGAGGCAACAGCACTGGAGACTCCCAGTTCATCAGACTTTTCCATATACTGGGTTTAGTGATTTAAAATTTTTTATATAACAATCCAGCACAAGAACCCACTTTATGTGTAAGTGAAACAGAAGTTTCACGTAACTATATCTTGTGTGATGGACCTAATTCTTCTTTTCTATTTCAGTTTTTAAAGATTTTGATGTAACCTGTTACATTGGTTTTTAACCTATAATTGGGAAGACGCTGGCCCTGTCAGTCTAGCTTTTCAGGACTCAGACCTAGGAAAACAGTGCCCTCCATAAATGTTTGAGGAATTGTGGACTGAGACTAATTCGCTGCTTCTTCATTTCCTCTGATTTCTCTGTTTAGGTTTTAGGAGCAGCCATTGTGAACCAGCCGCTTTCCATACAGGTGATATTTTCAAACCCCCTCTCGGAGCAGGTTGCAGACTGTGTGCTGACTGTGGAAGGAAGTGGTCTCTTCAAGAAACAGCAGAGAGTCCTGTGAGTGCTGAGACCTTCTCTAGGAGCTAGTTCTATCCACTGAGAACACCAGGAGAGACCTGGTTGCTGAGTAGAAAAGGGCTTTGGGGTTATCATGATGCCTACTGTGTCCTGACACTCTCCTTTCTCTGCTGCAGCATTGGAGTCCTCCAGCCCCAACACAGAGCCAGCATCACTCTGGAAACTGTCCCCTTCAAGAGTGGCCAAAGGCAGATACAAGCCAATCTGAGGAGTGACAAATTTAAGGACATAAAGGGCTACAAGATTGTCTCTGTTGAAGCTGGATTATAAGTTTTGGGATAGCTGGATGCATAGATTGTGGGCTTTAGGAAAAAGAGCAAGTTCAAATGCAGTTGTATCCTTTCCCAACACACTGGAGGCTTCAAAGGGATTCCAAGGGGTGGCAAAGCAGGTGGCGGTGAGAGATAATCCCAATTTGCCATTGGCACTGGTCTGCAGGACTCCATTCAGAGCTGATGGATTTCAAGGTGTCCCATCTAGAAGTGTGGAAGGCCCAGAAGCCTGAGTACACTGAGTGGATTTGACCATGAACTTACTACTCCTAAAATGAAGGAAAGAAGTCCAGTTTAACATCTCACTGCCATTTTGTCACTGCAATGGCTAATTCCCTAGTACTAATAAATGGCAGTCCTTGTTCTCACCTCCTCTGCATCCGTGTAATCATCACTTTCCCTATAGCTACTCCCACCTGTTTCCTGGATGCTGGGAGTGTCCTGTTGTTTCAAAGCCTGAGCTCATTCACTCATTCAAAAAAGATCTACTGAATGTCTAGGATGTGTCAAGGACTGTTCTAAATGTAGGGAATAAGGCTATATAAAGAAAGCAAGTCTCTGTCCTCATGGATCTTACATTCTACTTGGGTGGTGGTGGCGGGTGCAAGAGACAGACATTAAACATGTCAACACAGAAGTAAGGTACTTAGAAATCCTGCCAGGTAAACAAAACCCCAGGTGGTTCTACATACCACCCAATATTGTGTTTTAGAAAAAAGCCCAAGAGATTGATCATTTGACCTTCCTTTGAATTCCTTCCCATATCATATCCCAGATGTCCTTCAATCCTAATAGACCCCACTCTAAGCTCAAAGTCTACCAGAACACTGTAGTCCTGGGTGGGCCCAGGATGGCTGGGATTCTGACACTAGTTGAACCAGCTGAATAATGCAGTGAGGTAGAGTTTTGGTAAGGAACAAAGACTTTTCTATTGGTTGTGCTTCTACTGAACACAAAGCAACTCCAAGCATTATTCTCTCTGCCACACCTGCTTTCTTATGACACTGCGTGCAAAGTTCTCCATGGAGAAAGGAATGGTGCACCTGCCCTCTAGGTGTTGGTTATAATACTCAGACTGCTGTTGAGGGTATATGTTAAACACACATTAACTAAAGTTAAATACTTCTATTATATATATACAAAAGGGTAAGTGTGATTAATCAGAGCGAGAGGAGAGGGTGTGGTGGGAATTTTATGGTAGGTTGACAGTCCTGTTAAAGAGTGGACTGAGAACCAGCAGAACCCTGGAAGCAGGGAACTGAAAGCAACCTATAATTATTTCATGCTGTAATTACTGCCTGACAACCATGAAAACCATTTTAAAGAAAACATCCTGGAGGGGAGCATCTACAGAGACAAAGACCTCTGAATATTTCAGCTACCACACCCTTGGACTCCTTCATGAATTTTGATTGTTTTAACATCACATTCATTAACTCTTTCATTCAGCAAGTATTCTGAAATTGTACTAGGGCAGTGAGGCCACAAAGAGGGCCAGGGTCTGCTCTTAAGTAGCTCAAGTCTAAGCACATGGAGAATGAAAAATAAATAAGGTTATAACACACAGCACTATAGGGGTGAGGGGAAAACTGATCCAGTCTTGGAACTTTAGATAAGGGAAGGCTTCTTGGAGGGAGTGACATGTAAGCTAGAAGTTAAAAGACCAGGAATGTGCTGAATAGACTTGGGGGTAAAGTAAAGCAATCATTCAGATGTCTACAGATCAGAGAGGAGAGAGCAAATAGCAGGGGAAAATGAGGTAAGACACTAGGAGTCTCTGAAGAGCGTAATGTGGTGGTCTACGGAGTTCAGAAAGATCATACTCAGGAATAAATTTCCTCTAAGTATTGGATTACAGTCATTGCCTATAATCCTAGGTCTTAAAGTTGATTCTATTTTGCAGAGCTCAGCAAAGTAACTACATGATTTGAAAAGCACTTACAGGACAAATAGTTCTCCATCATGGAGACCAGTTTTGGGTCTGCCACTTTTTGAGGGGTACAGATAAGAATAATTTGCTTGCAGAGTGATCCCAGCTTGCCTAAGACCCCATTAGTTGGAACTTAGCTTCAAATGTACAAGGGTCTCGAGTTTCCTAAGGAAGACAGGCCAATCTGCTTGGCATAACAGGGAGTTCAGGAAATGCTTGAGCGGAAATGACATATGAATATGTGGGACTGTGGAGAAAAACAACTCTAGTTATTTACCAAGGTAGAGGAGAAAGATCAAGACAAAAAGCAGAAGGAAATGCAAGCCTGATTTTAGAAAGATATTGCTTATGTTTCCTTTATTTAGGGAATTCCTAGTTAACCTTTTGGTTTTAATTTCTAGCATAGTTTCAATGTGGTTAGAAAACACTCTGATTTTAATCCTCTGCAATTTTTTGAGACATGTGCCGTGGACCAGCACGTAGTCCATTTTGATGGATTTTTCACATGCTCTTGAGTATGTTGTCTGCAGTTTTGTGGTACATTGTTTATGATCATTAGGTCAAGTTTGTTAAGTTGCTCAAATCTATATGTGTACTAATTTTGTTGTTTGTTCTATAAACTAGAAAGGGAAATATGTTGAATTCTCCCATTATAATTGTGGATTTATCTATTACTCCTTTTACTTCTGTTGGGGGGGAGGGGTGTCAGAATTTTCAGTAATCTCCCATTAGAGTCTGTGGATTTAAGTATTTCTCTTTTTAATCCTGTGCAGGGAGTAACCTATAAGTTACTCCACTCAGGGAGAGGGAGTATTTGGTGAAGACAAACTATTTACCTAGAGGTGGCCAGAGGTAGAGAACCATAACAACTGTGGGGCATTTAGATCACTAAGCCTGAAGGGGTGAGGGAATGAGAGATTGTTGGAAATAGTAGACAGAACTGTTTGGAGAGGGCTGCCTGCCAGGAACTGCCTTTTTGGTGACACTACAGGGAGAGAATCAGGAGAATTAACACTTCAGCCTTGTTCTACTCCTAAACCCTAATGTTCTGTTGGCACCTGTTAGGCAAAGACCACAACAGGGGGCCAGAGAGCAGGAAGCCCATGTGTATTGTCAACATTGATCAGCTTCTGGGGTACAGGGAAACATGAATAAGGGTATTGAGTATATATAGAGGGGCAAATGAGAATATCCAACTTAAGAAGTAGCTAATACAACTTTAAAATTACTTGAGCCAACAGGACCTATAAGTTACTCCACTGCGGTAGGTCCCAGCAGACTCCAGTAAGCTCCAAAATAGGGCTTGGAAGCAGCCCAGACCTGGTAGGCCCTGGCAAGCATGTTCTGCCAAGGGGCACAGATGCAACAGGTCCCAGCAGATGCCAACAGCAGGGCCTGTTCCTCACTGGCTGCCACTTTTGGAGCAGTGAGCCAGAGACACACTGTTTGGAGGGCTAGTCCCATGGGTAGGGGTATTGATTATACCTTGGACAATAAAGACCAGAGCAGACTGCAACAGGTTTGGCACTAAGGAGATTCAGACTACATAGAACAGGAAATGGGTGGAGAGAAGAACCTGGAAGTTCTGGTCTGGAGGAGGGACATTGGTGGCAGGATTGTTAACTCAGCCAGAGGCCCTGGAGGTAGGGGAAGGGAATTTTTTGGAAGCATACTCCCTTGAAAGGGGAAAACCTTGTGGAAGAACTGGACTGCTCCACATAGACTGAGTCCCTAGTAAAGATAAGAGCAGAGCAGGAATTCTGATCTGCAACTGATGCTTACCATGTGAGGCACACTCATAATGCAGGGGTTGCTGAGTATCTCATCCCAGAGAGGGAGAATATCAAGGATACCACAAATATGAGTCCCACTGCAACTCATCCAGACCAATATCTGGATCCTTCCAAGCCCCTTCCCCACCATGCTGACTTAAACTCTACTGGATAAATCTGAATACATACAGAAATCAGCCAAGGCCAACATAAATAATCAAACAAAACCACAGTACCGTCTGTGGGAAACGAATTTAACCTGGGTCCTTCCTGGTGGCACAACAGGTTAAAGCAACACATTATGAAGCTCTCTGAAGCCATTGAAGCATGAGTTTGATCCCCGCCCCAGAGGTGATCCACATGGTGTGGCAGACCTCTCCTGACCTGCCCGCTGCTTCCCTCAGCAGTGTACATTGCCAATCTGCCTGTTCTGCTCCTCACTCTGTCTCTGGTGAATCCTCTCACCCATCATACCTCTGGCCGTACCCCAGTTGTGTACACATAAGTAAATCTTAAAAAAAACTTTAACCCCCCTAAGTTAGTGCTAAGCATATTAAAAACAATAATAAAAGAGAGACCTCAAGTATCAAAATGGATAGAAAATAAAATATATGGAAATATGAAACCTTAAGAGTATGACATCACAAATATGACATCACTCTTCAGAATCCAAGCACACAAAAGTGGAAGATTATATCTACCTATCAATAGAGAATTCAGGCTACTATAAAAACAAAACAAAACATAGGGGTACATATATCCTTTTGAATTAATGTTTTTGTGCCCTCTGGGTAGATTCCTAAGAGTGGGATTGCAGGGTCACATGGTAGCTCCATTTTTAGTCTGAGGAATTTCCATATAGTTTTCCATAATGGTTGGACCAGGTTAATTAAAAAAGATATACAAGCACCCTTATGTTTATTGCAGTAGGTAAATCCTGGAAACAACCCAAATGCCCACACCTAGATGACTAGATATAGATATATATATATATATAGATATATATATACACACATACATATATATATATATACACACACATATACACACACACACACACACACATATATATATATACAGCAATCAAAAAAGATAAACTCATGCCATTTGCAGCAACATGGATGGAGCTGGAAAGGATTATGCTCAGTGAAAAAAGTTAGATGGAAAAAGAAAAATATCGAATATACATACATGCATATATATATACACATACATATATATACACACACACATATATATACAGCAATCAAAAAAGTTAAACTCATGCCATTCGCAGCAACATGGATGGGGCTGGAAAGGATTATGCTCAGTGAAAAAAGTCAGAAGGAAAAAGAAAAATATCGAATGGTTTCACTTATAGGAGGAATTTAAGAGAACCAAGTAAGATGTATGGGGGGTGTATTTTTATTACAATACAAAACAATACAAAAACAGACAAGTAAAAACCAGAGCACTCCTACAGGGGAGGGGGACAGAGAGGGGTCAGAAGGAGGGAGGAAGGTGAGGGGCTATGGTGATGAAGGAGGGGAGGGAGGAGGAAGTAAACATTGTTATAAAATGAACAATACTGTAAATAGATATGTGAAAAATAAAAAAACAAAAACAACTCAAAGAGATAGAAGAAAATTGAGAAAGGCAAATCAAAGTAATATAAGAGCACTCAGAAAGGCTAATCAAGGAGATATAATAAATTGCAGAAAAAAAATTAATGAGCTCAGAAATAAAAATCAATGAATAGAAGGATGATGTTGAAACCTTAAATAAGAAAATTCAGAGGCAAAGAGCTCAATAAATGAGATCTACCATGTGATCCAGCAATTCCACTCATAACTACCCAAAGAATGCAAAAACACTCAAAAGGATATGCACACTCCTATGTTCATTTCAGCATTTTTTACAATAACTACGTTTTAGAAACAACCTAAGTGCCCAATGACATAAAAGTAGATTCAGAAGATGTGGTCTGTTGTACACATGATGAAATCCTCCTATTCAGCTATAAAAAAAGATTTGTGACAATGTATATGAAACTAGAGGGAATTTTGCTAAGTGAAATAAATCATAAAGAGAAAGACGCGATCTCATTCAAGTGGAATATATGAGAGAAGCAAAACAAAGGACCTGATGAAACTAAACTAAAACAAAGTCTATAGACATGACTGCAGTGGGGTGGGAACAAAGAGGAAAGGAGGCCCAATGGTCTAGTAGAGAACTATGTGTGTTTTGGCGGTGGGTGTGGTGTGGTGATCTATATCTGAGTAGGTGTGAACCATTTCCCCGAAATCACATATGGAGTCATAAAGCAATGTTACCTCAACAGAAAGAAAGGAAAAGAGGGAGGGTGACAGCTCAAACAACTTGTAGCAAGTAAGGGTGTGCAAGTTTTTTGTTCGCGCTTTAATCCTTTGAGATTGTCAGATCTGTTCAGATTCTCAGGCTATCATCTGCCAACTATGAATTAGCAAAAATCCCAAAGGAAAAAGCGACCCTCTCTCAGGAGCACAGCTGTGTGCTTCTTTTCTCCCTAGGATTTTGATTCCTCAAATCCCTGCTGCCTGAATGCCTTCAGGCAGATATTTAAAATATTTCATTTAGCTTTTCCTCGTTATTCCCTATAGGGGAGATATTATCAAGTTAGTCTGCTATATCTAGAAGCAGAAATGTTTGAGATTTGAACAGAAGATTGTCTAGGGAGATCATCTCAGTGGTGGTCTGAATTACAGGTTAAGGAGAAACCAAATATATGGGAACTGGGCTGGAAGGCCCTAGTCTGAGTCCAGTCTTTACTATCAATCGTAGTATCTTGGAAAGCTTCAATTCCTGGGTCACTTAGAGATAAACATGTAGTGTGTGGAGAGCAGGTGATAATGGTATACATTTTTAGTCTCATCCTTGCCTCTTTCATCTCAGTCTTATTTACCTTTAATGTTCTGCAACATTTTTAATATCTGCTCTTATGAAACATGTACCATTAGTTCTTTGTGGAACAAGGCAGTGTATAATTTGATTTATTTTTTACTCATTCATTAAAATAAGCAACCCCTGAATCTACTTTTTCAGCAATAAATTTGGAAGAATGAGCTCTTGCTTAGTTTACAAGCTTGAAGTACAGATCATATGGGATGATGTATGTGAAATGCTTTGTAAAGCAACATACCAGAATAAATAATTTATTTGAACCTGGTAGTCATGCCAAGAATCTTTTCTTCTTTGCCTTCTATATCCTGTTCATTAGCATGTCTTGACAGTTTAACTTCTTCATTAAATTGAATCTCTTTACCTCTATCTTTACCAACACTTCCCTGACTAGGCCACCATCACCTCTTACTTGAACAACTATAGTGGTCGCTTAGTGGTCCTTTCTCTTACTCTTGCCCTCTCTAATTTTCCCTATTTAGCCAGCAAGGAAATTTAGAAATGCATGTCTAATTGTGCCACTCCCTTACTTAAAATAGTTTCCCACTCCTCTGAGGATAAACTTCAAAATCCTTAATTCTCAAAGATTTTGTTCTTGCCTTAACTCCCTCTCTCACAATCTGTGCTCCAGTCCCACTGGCTTTCTTTCAATTGCTCCCTTCCACAGGGGCTCTGCAGATACATTTTTCTTTTCTTCCTCCCACCCCATCCTTTCCCACAGTGTCTAGCTAACTCCTATTTATCCTTCCAGTTTCTAGTTAACAGATCACTTTCCTAAGAAGCCTTCCCTGGCTTCCACACATATGTCCTAAAATTTGGAATTTCTTTTTTTCAGCACTTATCACAATGGGAAGTAAAAAATTATCACGGTAGTCATTTAGTACTGACTGTTTCTCCCTGGTGGCATGTAAGTTCCTGGGTCCAGGGACATATCGATCTAATTTATTATTGTATAACCAGTGCCTAATATAATTCTTGATGCACAATAGTACTTAATAAGTATTTGGGTCATGAATAAATAAATAAATCTTATTCGAGGACACACCAGCTGAAGATTTGTTTTTTTGCCAGAGGCTAGGGAGTTGAAAGGTGTGGGTGCAGTAGGAAGCAGGACAGATCTTTCTGGTCTTTCCTCCCTGCAACCTGCTCATATTCAGGTTACTTAATTAAATTATTGCTATTATTTATGAATATTTAGGTAGTTGATAATATTTTTTATTTTTAATATTATTATTGTAACTATCAGTTCACTGGATAGATCTGTGTAAATTTTATTATACATATGAATTTGGTTACTTACATGATAAGAGTATCTAGAGTAGAATAGTTGATCAAAAGTATAGATTTTGATATTGCCTCATTTCCCTCCATAAAACTATGCCAACTTATACTCTTACAAGTGTAATAAGAGGAAAATTATTTCGCAAACCAGGACTAATTCAGAAAGGAGTCCAACTATTTTGTTCTTACCAGTCTATTAGATGAAACAATATATATCTCACACAGTTTAATATTTCATTTATATTAAGTGAAGTTGGATTTTTCATGTATTTAGAAGACATTAGAATTTCCTTTTCTGTGATTATCTATAAAAATATCCTTCACCCATTTTTCCATTGATTTGTTGTTCCTATTGTTTGCAAGAACCCTTTACATTAAGGAAATTAACCCTTTGTTAGTAAGAATTTTTTCATGCTGTTGTTACTACTGTAAATTGAAACTTATTCACATTTTCTGACTGGTTGTTGACTATAGCTATGAAAACTATTGGTTTCTATATTTTTGGTGCCTGCCAACCTATTATCTTCTCTTTTCTAGTCATTTTAAAAGTAGATTCATGTTTTCAAGGTAAAAATTATATCATGTTCAAGTAATGAAACTGTACCTTTTTGTTTCTCATGAAGAATGGCGCAGGGTCATAATAAAATTCTCAATGGTAAGGTTTCAAAAGTATAAAAGGGTAAATAGCAGAAAAAATTACTTTCCTACTCTACCCCCTAAGTTACCTCCCCACAAGGAACCAATGATCCTTGCATTTTCTTTGATATCCTTCTATTATATATCCTATGCATGTGCAGGCTAGTAGTTGCTCTGAGAGGGCTTCTGGCAACCTAGTTTCAGAAGTTCAGATAAAAGCTGGGCTTTTTGGAAGTCAAAGGGCCAAACAAGAGATCCGCTCCTGTACCTTGTCTTCTTAATGACTAAACTAGAGATAGAAAGACATAAGCACTTCATCCCCAAAAAGCTCCAAACTTTTCTGGTAGAATGTCCCAGACCATTAGTGGGCTTGGAAAAGCAGAACACTGGCTTCAGCTCTTAAGATGTTTATTTTTCACCAACAAATACCATCTCCTTATCTGTTTCACACAGACGAATTCCAAACACACACAGTTTCTCTGTTATTAATGAATCAGCCCATGAATAAATACATAGCACCTTGCAGCCCATGATAAGTCTAGAGACCAAGATGTGGAATTGGAAATGGGTCTTTGGTTTATGGAATCATCTACAGAGCCTTTCAGTGTTGTCTGCGTGACTAGGATGAGTCTTAAGGCTACTGAATAACAAACTTAGAGGTTTCTTCAGGACTTCTCCAAGTGATAGAGCTCCCCCTTCCACTCCCCTACTCTATACCACTGCCTGGGCCTCTGGCACAAGAGATAAAATGAAAAAGGTTTACTCCCAACAGCTGTTCTAAAAGATACCAACAGGGAGGAAGAAGGAGAGAAGAAACCTGTCAGAAAGCTCACAGGAGAAGCATAAGGAAACGGCACTATTTACAAGTACCTCCATCATTTTCCATCTGGGAGACTGATTCAAGGAGTGACCCCAGAACAATAGTTCAAGACAGGCCTTTCCTGTGGTCAAGTGTATAGTATCAGCCAGCAGCCATGGGACAGGGTGAGCCAAACCAACTTCTCTTGGGCTTGCTAGACTATCAGAAGCCCCTCTATCATTATGAAATTTGATTAAAGGAAGTCAGATGTGGTGAGGGGATGGCAATGTGATGTGATACAACATGAGGGTGTGGCAGATGGGTGATGGTGGAGGTGATGTTGGTGGGGTTTTGGTGGTGGGTGGTAGTGGGTGCTGTAGTGGTGATATTGGTGGTATAACTATGAATTGGTAATACCATAGGATTGCTGCTGGTAATTTGGTGATTGTAGTCGTGAGGAGGTGATTAAGATGAGTTTATAGACTTATCCCAGCATCATCATAACATGATTACTCTCACTGGGCTGTGGTACCTATGGGAGATGTCACCTTGGGGTAACATGAGGGTGTCATAGCTAGTCCCAAGGTCAAATGAAAAAGAAGGGACAGTAGGAGGCAGGGAAACCAACTAAAAGGGAAGAGGCAGACATAGACAAGAAAATGGGCAGACTCTGAAAATGTAGAAATTTTAGGGACCTCTATAAAGGGTTTGTTAGCACAAATACAAGTCCCACTGGATATTATTGTAAAATGAGAATTACCTGATATCAGACGGTCATAATACTCTTGGGCCCCCTCCTGTAGTTTTTTTTTTTTTTTCTGGAATGCATACTTTGTTTGGTGAGCCTTGAGTCAACTAACTATGTATGATCTCAGGTGAATTGATTCTCATTCCCTGGGTCTCAGACTTCTCATCTATAAAACAAGACAATTGGACTCAGAATTCAAAACCAGCTCTAAAAGTCACCTAACTGAATTCTTTAAAAAAGCAAGTTAGAATAAGCAAGAATTTTTACTTTATTAACTGCTTTTGGAGTGAGAGCAAAAAAGGAAATCAACAATAAGAACAAACATTGTTCTTATTACTAACAGCCTCAATTAATGGCATTTACTACATGTTTGTCTCTGTGCTAACTGTTTTAGATATGTTACTTCATTTAAATCACCACAACTTGTGAGGAGGGAGTATTATTATTATTATAATAGTTTATTTTTCCATCTCAGTGGAGCAAGTATTATTTTAAGAAAGAAGAAGCTGAGGCTCAAAGTGGCTTACCTGACTTGCTGGAGATGGCACAGCTAATAAGTAGGTTAAGCCAAGGAGTTGCACTCTGGCCTCTATAACTCCAGGGTATCTGCTTTTACTTTCATGATCACATTTTCCTAGTCTCCACAATTTCTCTTTTTTCCACAAAGGACTGGGAATCAAGAGCTGCAACTTCCAGACAGCAAGAAACAATGAAGAGCACCACACCAAGGCCTTTAGCTCCAGGCACCTCATTGTGAGGAGGGGGCAGCCCTTCACCATCAGCCTGCACTTCAGAGCCCCCGTCCACACATACCTGTCTACCTTAAAGACGGTGACCCTGATTGCGCAAACTGGTAAGTGGAGCAGGACTATGCTTCTGTGGCAGCACATCTAGGGGGAAGGGATTTCTAGCAGCCCCTCAAGAAACCATAGGGCAGATGGCCCACATAACTCCTCGCCCTCAAGAAGCCCTGCCTACCTCATAGGTTTGCTTTATGAGATAATGTACACAGTAGTGTTCATCATGGTACAGAATGGCACAGCAGAATTATCATCAAGAGGTCCTTTTGGGTGCAAATAGATAATCATTTTTATAGGAAATTGTATTCCCTAAAATCAGATTTAACATTTGGTTGGTACATTTATTGAATCTGTACTACAAGTCAGATACTTAACTACAAATGTTTTGCATACAGTATTTCATTAAGCGCTCATGTCACTCCTATGGAGCAGGTGCTATTTACGTTCCCCATCTTACAGGCTATGAAACTTCTCAATGTTCATAGTCTACTGGCTGAGGTTCTGCTCTCCCTTTATCCTCAACTGCTTCCCATTACTGAATGAAGCCATTTTCACTCTCATTCTCCTCCAAAATCAGTTTCACCTGCTCCAACTTTTTTTTTTAAGGATTTTTTTTATTTGTTTATGCATACAGAACTGGGGTACAAGGCCAGAGATGCGAAGGGTGAGAGGATTCACCAGAGACAGAGTGGGGAGCAGAACAGGCAGATCAACGAAGTACACTGCTGAGGGGAGCAGCGGGCGGGTCAGGAGAGGTCTGCCACGCCATGTGGTCACCTCCAGGGCAGGCTGGGATCGAACTCATGTGGAAGTGGCTTTAGATTCCTAGTGCTGTGCTTTAACCCGCTGCGCCACCAGGGAGGGCCTGCTCCAACTTTTGATATAGGACTTTATGACTCTGAGTTGTGACCAAGAAGTCCAAAATGACTATTTCATCTGTGGGTCACTGCAGGAGAACAGCCTTCCACAAGCAACAGGACAGAAGCGGTGTTTCCGATTTCTAGTCTCGGGGACCGGAAGTGGTGGAGTGCTGAGGTGGAGAGCAGAGATGCTGAGTCCTGGACACTTTCTGTGACCACACCTGCAGATGCTGTCATTGGTCATTACTCCCTTCTGCTGCAGGTCTCTGGCCAGAAGCCACACCTCCTGGGCCACTTCACACTGCTCTTTAATCCCTGGGGTCGAGGTGAGTTTGAACCTCCACTGCACAGAAACTCAAGGCTGGGGACCTGGGGCACAGCTTTAGCAAGGAGCACCAGTCCAGGCCCTGGCAGGCAGCTCCCACTACGGCAGAACAGCAGTTCTCAATTACTGCAGTATCTTGTCCCTGGATGAATGGTGTGCCAGACACAGGGTCCTGTCTTGTCACCAGTGCAGCCTGGGGTTTCCCACTGACAGCAAAGGCAAACCAAACTCTGGGGCAGGCTGAGAATATTTCAGTCTTAGGAGTTGAGCTCCACTGAGGTGACCGTGGAAGAACCATCCATTACTATCACAGCACCAGAGCAAGAATTGGAAAGCACTTCAGGAATGGAAGCAATCTGCTTTCTCCCTGGTCTGATTCTAGAGTAAGTCCAGGTTTGTAGGTCCTGAAGCTTAGGTAATTTGGAGGGATCTCTTTAAGAAAAAAAAAATTTACACATTTTTGAATTGCTAAGGCCCAGCCCAGGGCCTGAAAGGGTCTGTACTACTGAAGTTTCAGTTTCATAGTAAACCTCTCCCATTTTATAATCTCATCTCCAAGTGTTCTGTTCTTTGTACAGACTGCAGGGTCCTTTCCACACTGACCTAGCTAAATATCTGCCTGGAGTAGCAAATTAAAGGAAGGCCTACAATAGCTTAGTAGTCTATCGGTGGGGTTTCCTGAAATCAGGTCACCTCCTGTGACCTGGTAACCAGAGGCCACTGCTGGCAAAGCACGGTCTTGGTTGTTGGGGTTATTTCATCTGAGAAAGGCCATCGGACATGATTGCTGAGCCCCTAGAGAACCCCAGAGGGTATCTCCTCTTGCTTCCCATTCTGAAAACTGAGTCTTGTCTTTCATTTAAAATATCTGCCACCACCCACCTAATTTCTTTGGGTTCCCTGTAGAGCTGTTTTGGGGAATGAAAAACAGTTTCTTCAGGCTTTCCTGCCCTTACTAACTCAGGTAACAAACTCAGAACACTTTCTTGTCAAGAGTTCTGTGGTCAGCCTGAAGGGGGCTCATTATAAGGCAGGACTAAGAAAGAGGAAACATGGAGAAGTAGAAGAAATCTCCCAAGTTTCCACAGTCTGACCCCTGGACCCCAGTTCCTGACTCCCTTTCTACATGGTACCTGAATCCCTGTGGACTCTCTTTCCATTTCCTTTCCCTAGAGGGGGATTCTCCAATCCCCTCTTCTTCAGTTGGGCCTGTCTGTCCTCAGTTCAGGCCCCCCTTTCCTGCTCCAAGGGTTGTGACAGATAAACAATAGATGGGCACTAGTGTCCACCAAGTGTCCCTTACCCAGCGTGGGAAATAAGCAAAGTCCCAGGCTCTCCGCATACTGACAGAAAGACCCTCAAGTCATTCTCCTCCAAAGCTGATGCTGTGTGGGCCCATTTTTCTGACCCTGAGTGCAAAGCTAGATCCTGGTGGCTTCCTCCAAAGATATCTTCCAGCAAAGATAGTTCTGGAACAGTGCTTGATTCAGAAGAAACTCAGTTTTGATTCCATGCCAGGATTTCTGCCTCCATGCTTATCTTGTAGGGACTTACCTTGGGAAGACTTTGATAAGTGAGGGTGTATGGAGATTTCTCTCTGGGAGGGCGGTGGGTGGTAATTAACTCTGCCCATCTGGGAGGTGATTAAGAGATTTTTCAGAGATTATCAGGGATATTGTTTATCTGTCATCTGAGAATACTTGGGAATGGGGTTCTCTTGGATTCCAAGGAAGGAAGTCATATCCTAAAGTGAAAATTAGTCCTATTCATAAGCAGGTAAGCTTATAAAGGGGGCTACCCAGGTAGAGAAAAGAGGCTACTTGTGCTCTGATAACATACTACACAGAACCTGGCAAAGCCTGAAGCCAAACACCTCGGTTTAAAGTGGTTTTTCTTTTTTTTTTTTTAAGGTTTATTTATTTATGCATATAAGAACTGAGGTACAAGCCAGAGGTGTGGGGGCTGAGAAGGTTTACCAGACACAGAGTCGGGAGCAGAACAGGCAGATCTACTGAAATACACAGCTGAGGGGAGAGGCAGGTGAGACAGAGAGGTCTGCTGCGCTATTTGGGTCTCCTCCCTGGCCGGGGATCAAACTCCCGCGGCAGTGGCTGCAGACAGCTCCATAGCACTGTGCTTTTACCAACTGTGCCACCAGGGAGGGCCCTGAAGTGATTTTTCAAAGGTGTTCAGCTGACTTCTTACAGAGGGCTCAGGACAGAGGGACAGGAGTCAAAATCACACGGTTCTGTGATTTTAGGTCTTTTTGGGGCTTCCTGACATCTAATATCTTCTCTTTCTGTTGCTTTAAGTTCCTTCCTCCTGGTTGGATGCCTGGGGGGATGGTTTGGAAACCCTTTTTCTCTTTCTAGTTTCCAGGAACCAGTTTAACCTCCCCAACTCCACTGCAACACCAGGTGCAGAGAGGTCCCACCCTGTTCCCAGATTCCTAGAGTGGGAGAAAACCTCTCTAAAAGCCCCCATCCTCCTCACAATCCCCAGCCCAACCCTTGGATGAGGACATCAGCGGAAGCACTGGGCAGAAACTATGGAAATCCTACCCCCACTTTGCCACCCCCCACAGTGGAAAACCATTGCTTTGGCTTCCACTGTCCCTAGCCCCACTGCTCCCTCTGATCATCTTGCCAAATCTTCTCTTTCTTCTGCTCAAACCTGTCAACCTATATATTTTTTTAAGTTGAACTTGTGGGAGAAATACAACAGGCCCTCTGGGAAACTCCCAGTGCTGTTGCAAAATTCTTGGGCCTAGAGCACTCACTCTGTCTGCAATGTACTCTGAGAACCAGTAGGCTTTTAAAGGTTGACTTGTTCCTGTCTGTACAGCTGACCAAAAGGTCTGTCCATGCCGTGGCAGACCTAGGGAGACCCACTCTCCACCAGACAGGATACCGGGTCCCAGTGGAGGCAGTGAAATGAGGGACTCCTCTCAGTCCCTAACAGTCCCAGCGCCTAATGGAAGCCTGGCAGCTAAACCTGAACTGGGCAGGGAGGGCAGAGGCAGGCTGTGGAGGGCAGGCCCTGAACTGCACAGGCCCTCACTGCTGACTGCTTCTCACCAGAGGATGCTGTGTTCCTGGAGAATGAGGCTCAGCGCAAGGAGTATATATTGAACCAGAATGGCATCATCTACCTGGGCACAGCTGGCTGCATTGAGACAATGTCCTGGGATTTTGGTCAGGTAGAGGGGCAGGGAGTTGTGGGGGGGCATTCCAGGAAGAGAGGGGACAGTTGTTTCTTCCTAACCTTCAGTGTTCAAGCCAGACAGAGCTGGCATGTCCCAGAGCCCCTGGTCACAAGGCCATTTCTTTAGTCCATTTCAGCCCACGGTGCCTCTCTTTCCTCAGAGTTTTATTAGACCACCCTCCACAGTTTCCAGAGTTGCCTTTCTAAAGCCCCGCAAATAAAATCTCTGTTAAATCCTTGTGGACAGGACAAAAAGCAAATTTCCTGGCTTGACACACAAGGCCTTTCACAGCTAGGCCACTGCTTTCCTTTCTCCAAGAGTGACTCCTGCTCTAGCTCCCAGCCATTCCTACATATGACATGCAAGCTGAATATCCCCTCATCCTTGAATACCTTCCATGCTTATTCCCCTGAAAAACTCAGACCCATCCTTTTAGACCCCCTAAAGGCCATCCCACGTCCCCAAAGGGAGACTGAACTTCTCCCCGTGCTCTCTGTTCTAGGCGGGTGTCTCTCCTGGAGACTCAGCTACAATGCTGAGATCTGTGTTCTAAGTGGCTGCATGTCCCTCTCTACTCCTCAACTATGGGCTCCTCAAGACAGGGAGCCACCTTGCCATGCTCCACCCCTGTCAGTGCTGGCAAGAGCAGTAGTAGCAGCTCCCTAAAAGGAAAGTGAAAAGAATGAAAGGAAACAACACAGCCCAGGTTCTCAAAGAGCACACCCCCTTTGGGGAAGAGTCACATGGCAGAGCAGGCAAAGCATGGGTTTGCCTGGGCACAGGGACCAGGGACACTGGGGGACAAGGGAGAAAGGGATGGAGCCTGAGTCTGGAAAAAGAGAGGACATGGAGACATGGGAGACTGTTGTGTGGGGCCAGTGCCTGGCCAGAGACTCTTCATCACAGTCCTGTGTGGTCCTTACAGTTCGAGGATGATGTCATCGACCTCAGTCTGAGTTTACTGAGTGTGGACAAGAAGGTGGAAGAGTGGGGCAACCCCGTGCATGTGGCCCGTGTTTTGGGTGCCTTGGTGAGTGAGAAACACGGGGTCGGGAAGGCCAGAAATGGGAAGAGACGAGAAGGGAGATCTCTAACATAGTTGCCCCACCTCTGCAGCCCAGGAAATTTCAAATCACAAACGGCCCCCTCCTCCTAAGGTGTAAGGTTTTGGGTGAGGAGAGGACAAGAGCCTCCTCAGGGGAGAGAAAAGCCAAGAGAGGTGTCATGTCTCAGCACAAGCCTGAGAGACGAAAACTACAGTAGATTCCTCAGCCCATTCCTCTCTCTCTAGCCCCAGCGTGGAGGCTTATGTCCCTGGAAGGTAGGAAATGGGGTCCAACTTAGTGTTTGTTGCTAAGATGATCAGAAGGACCTGCTTTCATTCTGAAATTGTTCCAAGACGACACAGACCTTAAAGATAGCTTGGTGCTTTCCTTTTCTCCCTAAAAGTCCTTTTCCTGATGCCATAGGTTCCCCCATACACTTTCATGCCTTTGGACTCCCCTCTGAAGAAGTGGGGAAGGACAGGGACAGTCTGGAGGAAGAGGAAGCTTGGGCTAGTGAGCCTCCAGGCCCCAGGTGTGAACAGCTGGAGATGTTAAGGCCAGTGAAGCAGTGGAACCAGCCCTTGCTGAGAAGCAACTGGCCTGCTTCTCTTGAGGCTTGAGCTGGGTTTGCCAGTGTGGCCCACAAACCCTGTTTCTCAGAGGACTTGTTAATGAAGAGGGTGCTGGGGTCCTCCCCCTGGAGATTACAACCAGGTAGGCTAGTGCGGGCCCAGGAAAATGAAGGTTTAACTAACAAGTGACGCTGATGTGGGGGGTTCTGTTCTCCAGTGGCAGAGAACTGCCCCAAGTCCTACTTACACCTGGAAGCTGTCCTATCCTGGGGTTCATGTAACAGCAACACATTTCCCCAAACAGCTGCATGTGCTCATGGAGAAGAGAGTCCTGCCCACTCCGCAGACCCAGCCCACCCAGGAAGGAGCCTTGCTGAACAAGCGCCGGGGCAGCGTCCCCATCCTGCGGCAGTGGCTCACAGGCCGTGGGCGACCTGTGTATGCTGGCCAGGCCTGGGTGTTGGCTGCTGTTGCTTGCACAGGTATAGAGCAGGCTTGCCTGCTGCACCACGGCTCACCCTGGTTAATATAGTGTCTGTGCTGCTGCTTGGGCTGCCCATGGCACCCTGTGTGGGAGAGACAGCTCCCAACATAGATACTGCTTCCACTCTGCAGCATTTCCCTACCTTCACTGTAACCTTAGCTAATTCAGAGGCTCCCTCTGGCCATGAAACCAGCTGCTTATCCCTGGCAGCTCTTCCCATCCAGCTTCTGTTCCTGAGCAAATGTGGGCCCATCTGGCAAACTCTGCTCCCAAATTTACTTTCTCCCCAGAACGTCTGCCCCTGTTCTCAGTAAAGCAGGTCCCCAGCCCTCTGTGTGTATTCTCTGAGCCTCCCCAGCTATGTAACTGATTTCATTTCTTGGCCTTTAGACTTCCCGTGCCTGGGGTCAGTCCTAACTTCCCAATGCCCCTGCCCCACATCTGTCTACCCTGTCACTTGGTATTTAGGGCCATTCCTGCCCATAGGAGACACCAAGGACCCTAACCCCCTCACACCCCCAGACCAGGCTTCCCTGGAGTCCTCTGACTCTCTACCCACTTCCACACAGTGCTCCGAAGCCTGGGGATCCCTGCCCGTGTCATCACCATCTTCGCCTCAGCCCAGGGCACCGGTGGGGGCCTGCTCATAGATGAGTATTACAATGAAGAGGGGCTTCAGAACGGTGAAGGCCAGAGAGGCAGAATCTGGTGAGCAGCTCAGAGGAGATGAGTTCTCAGACCTGAAAGTGCTCTAAACTTGGATGTTATCACCCTGAGTGGGGCACTGACAGGAGGCTTTTAAGACTCCTAGAGGTTGGGCATGTTGGTCAGTCGTGGCATGCACATCCCTCCGTGGGATTGCTGCAACTGCTTTGGCACAGCGTCCTCCCACCACCACTGCAAGGAGGACTCCGCCATTACTGGAACCTCTTCAGGACTAATTTTTTTTACCACTTGAATTGTTTCCTTCACTAACCTCAGGATATACCAGACTTCCACAGAGTGCTGGATGACGCGGCCAGCTTTACCCAAGGGCTATGGCGGATGGCAGATTATGTACTTGGCTGCTGCTGATGGAGGTAGAGGTAAAGTCTGGGGTGGGCCCAGGGACAAGACCAATTTGGGCTACACAGAGCTGCAGGAGCTGCAGGAATCCCCTGTAGAGGAAACATGAGCAGCTGATCATCAAAGGGGGTCTTATCCCCTAAAACAAGAGAAAGGAACAGAATGATAGCACCTGGCAGAATGCTGCTCAGATGTCAGTGGAGTTAGCTATCTTCAGCACAAGGAGAGACTAGTGACAGGTAAGGGAGGTGAGTATCGTTAGCGGGAAGAGGGTCTTAAGATAATTGTGGATGTGCTGGCTCTGGGACTTTAGGCTGGGACTTCTGGATGTCTGGATATGGATAAAGACAGTATCAGGTTAGGATCAGCCTTGCAGAAGGAATCTTCAGGGACCCAAAAGGATGGTTCATCTTTTCCCATAACAGAATGGTCACAGAGCCGGGCACATAGTAGGTGCTCAGTAAAGATGACCTAGTCCTCTATCAGTAAAAGAGCTGTTTGAGAAGCTCCTGTGCTATGTTCCCAAGGGTCTACCTGCCAAGTTCCTGCGAGGGCTCCTGTCATAAACCTAACTAACAAGTACTGTCACTATTGTTTCACCTCTGTGATGGCCTCTCAGAAACTCTGCTTAGTACCCACCTCTGACCTTGTTCCTGGGTACAGGATGGAGACTGAGATTATGGAGCTCTGACCCAAGCATGGCTTCTCTTGCTCTCCCTCAGTGCTGGAGGCCTGTGAGCTGGTCCCAGTCAAAGCTGTCAAGGAGGGAACACTGGAGCTGAGCCCTGCAGTATCAGACCTTTTTGCGTCAGTAAATGCAACTTGTGTGGTTTGGAAATGTCGTGAGGATGGGGCACTGGAGCTGACCGACTCCAACACTAAGTATGTTGGCAACAACATCAGCACCAAGGGTGTGGGCAGTGACCGCTGTGAGGACATCACACAGAACTACAAGTACCCAGAAGGTACTGGGCAGGGGAGGGCTCCAGGCTTCTCAGCATCTGAAAGAGCAACAGAGGGGAAGGACTAGGCCAAACAGATCTAGGCCAGAGAGAGATACAGTCCTTTCCTTATCTCATAAAACTGGATTTCACCTCTTTTGACACCAATGACCTATTGGGCCAGATAACTATTTGTTGGTGGGGGAGGGAGTGAGGAGGCGGGGGACTGTGCATCACAGGACATTTAGCACTCCTGGCCTTTATCCACTAAACACCAGCACCCACCACCTCCACCAGCAGTTGTAACACCAAAAATGTCTCCAGACAGTTCCAAATGTCCCCTGAGGGGTAAAACTGTCCCCAGTTGAGAACCAATGCTATGAAACAACACACCAAATGACACCAAACTCAGCTGCCTCAAGCTGTTCTCCTTTTCCCCTTCTCCACCAACACCTCTCAACCTGTTCTTCCCTCCATATTTATTAATAGCACCATCGTCCACCTATTTGTCCAAACAAGGCTTGCACTCTTCTTGAGTCTTTCCCCTTTACCACCTCACATTACTCTCACCTGTTTTCTCACCTCCTTCTCCACTGCCTCATCACCTCTTGTTTGTACTACAACAATGTGTTCCCTGGACCGCCTGCCTCCACTCTCTCCATCACTCATCCTGTTACAACTGTCAGTTTCCAGAATGAGCTTTCTAAGTCACAACTGTGACCATATTACTTCCCTGTCCCATAATAGCCCCCAATTTCCTTGGAGCAAGTCCAAACCCTCTCACTTGCAAGTCCCTGTAAAACTGTCCTCAGAGACTGTGAATTTCTAAAAGTGTACTCCTCTACTGCCCAAATAAGTAGGCAAATAAATATATAGCACTTGAACTTAGTCCTTGAGTGACTTGGAAAAGACACACTGTAGTAGACTTGCCCAACACACACATTTTTAAAACTAAATATAGCTTTAGAGGTTTGCAGAGCTCTGTCACTTTGGCATTTGGGCAGCATTAGGTAAATGAATCTTAATACTAGGTAAGACACTTGCTTTATTTCTTCCATTCTTCAGGATCGCTTCAGGAAAATGAGGTGCTGGAGAAAGTCAAGAGGGAGAGAATGAATCATGGCAAAGACAATGTTATCCACCCCCTGAGTCTTGAGGTTGCTGATCCTCTGTACCTGTTCTTAGAAGCACCCTGCTCGCTACCCCTGGGAGGGGATGCTCAGCTCTCTGTGACCCTGGTTAACCCCAGTGACCAGGAGAAGGCTGTACAACTGGCATTTGGGGTGCAGGCAGTGTACTACAATGGTGTCCTTGCTGCCGAGCTCTGGAGACAGAAGCTGCTCCTCACACTCAGTGCCAACCTGGGTAATTGTCTATGTCTCATTCCCACCCATCCAGCTCCCATCCTCGGCAGGCAGCAGCCATAGATCTGAAGAACCCCTGCAGGTCTGAAGAAAGGTCTTCTAGTCCTTGCTGTGCATACTCTCAAACTACCCTTCCTTCTCAACACATATTTGACTTCACACGGGATGGGGGGCAGACACACCCACACTTGTATCTTCAGTCAGTTAGCTTAACAGATTATGGGAGCAGTGGATGAAGTGTTGATAAGGTAAGCGGAATACAATGGCAGGGGAGCATCTTGCTTAGACTGAAATAGGCTGCCTCCAATAAATAAGACTGCACTTAAAAGACGAGTTAAGAGAGTGACACAGAAAAGTGAGTCAAGGAGATTCTAGGCAAAAGGAGGTTGAAATTCCCTGGGCTAGAGAAGTTGTTCTCAAACTTTACTAGGCACTGGAATCACCTGAGGAAGTTAGATGCTCACCCTGTACCCCATACAAATTAAATCAGAAATTTCACAGTTGGACCCAAACATCAACTTCAAAAAATTCTTTGGTTGATTTTTACAAAACTTGTGCAGGCAAATTTGAAAATCAATGGACATCTTGTCTGTGTTATTGCAATAGTCTACTAACTGGCCCCCACCCCCCACCTCTAATCACTACACCATATTCCATTTCCAAGGGGACGAATGGGGAGTGACTAGAGAGCTGGATGGAGCTAGATCATGAAAGGACTAGTCATGTGAAGGGACTGTCATGTTAAGGAGGTTGAATTTTGTCCTCTGGACACCAGGGGAATCAATGTGATCAGAAATTCTTTTAAAAAGAACATTCATCAGGATGGAGTGGAGGAAACTGTATTACAGTAGTGGTGTTCAAACTTGGTTTTGTGTTGATTTACCTGGGAACTTTAAATATACTGATACCTAGACATCATCAGGGTCTGATGTAATTGATATGTCCTGACACTGTTTGTTTTACAACATGTCACAGATGATTTTAGTGAACATCTGATGCTGAGACTACTAGATTAGAGGCTGCAAAGTTTTGTAATAACCAAGTCAAGAAATGAAGGACAAAATGAACTTAGATTAAGGAGGTAGAACAGATTGAACTGAAACTGTGTATATGTGGGGTGAGGGGCTGCCTGCCTCCAGTTTGGGTGAGTCTCTCAAACAGGAAAAATGAGGAACAAATTGGGAGAAAGATGATCAGTTCTATTTGTTGGTTTTGAAAGCCTATGAGCTGGATAAGCAGAGATAACTAGTAGACAACTGGAAACCTAAGCCTGATATTCAGAAGTAAGGACTGGAGAGATGTGGGAATCCCAGCAGAGTCAGGACATTGATAAAGTCCTGGCAAAGTGAGAAAGTGAAGAGGGCACCCCAGGTAACACCATCTTGTAAGGGGCAGACAGTCAGGGCAAGAGAAGAGAGTAAGACTGAGAAGTCAAAGAGAGGAAGGCAGCACAAAGCAAGCTCTTCAGAGAGACCATGAGATGTCAAGGCAGATATTGAGAGAATAGCTATACCTAAACGCAATGCCAAAAGGCCACCTTCCTGAGGATTAAACCAAATGAGAGCTGAGAAGGTGAGATGAGGTGTGTTAGTCCTACATGGAAGAGTGGATGGAAAGAGAAGGCTGAATGGAAATCAGTTAGGGATACTGGGTAGGGGGAGATGTTTTATCTTCTTTTAAAGAGAGGAAAATTTGCTTACATGTTGAGTAAAATAATCAGCAGAGAGCAAATGACTGAAGCCTCAGGAAAGATGGGTTCTGACTGATGGCAAAATTCCTAGGGAAAATGAGTGGTAACTAAAATAATTATTGCTCCTGTTTATTGAGAACTATTTCTCTCAAAAATGTTATTAATGTTCTCTATGTATTATTTCATTTGTCCTCACAACATTATGAAGCAGGAACCATTGTTATCCCATTCACAGAGGAGGAGCCTGTGATACAGAGAAGTTACCTAACTTTCTCAAAGCTAACAAGTCAGCATGTGCTCAGGACAGAGCACAAATTTAAAAAGCATAGGACTCATTTTGGGCATGGGAGATACTGCATCTTTCTGTGGGGAGCACTGACAGTGGGGGTAGACGTCTCTGTCTGTAGGCTGGGAATGGGAATGAGTTTGAGAGCATTTGTCAAGGATAAAGGATGTCTTCATTTTCTCTGCAGAAGGGAAAGAGAATAAGCAGACAAAAGGAAGGAACAACAAACTCATTTAGCAACTATTTTGTGGCAGAATCTGAACTAAGCACTTCATTTGGTATCTCACTTAATAGAAACCATTCCTCTGATGGCTGTTGATATTACTCAAAGAAACTGAAGTCAAAGAACTAAACTTGCTCTAGTTCTCAGAAACCTTCCCACAGCCTCATAGATGTGGTCTGCAGTGATGGTGATGGGTGGGGAGTGTCAAGCAAGTCTAAAATTTGAGGTTACTGAGAAGAATGAGACATCTTTCTGGCTTCAGTGAGATCCTGAGTACTTTGTGTAACTGTTGCCTGTTTCTGGGGTGTGCACACACTCACCGCCTGTCATGTGTTTTAGTTAAGAAAATTACCACCAGCCTGTCCTTCTCTTATTTTGAGCAAAGCCCACCAGAGAATAGCTTTCTCAGATTCACAGCTATGGCAACACACTCAGAGTCCAGCCTCAGCTGCTTTGCTCAGGAAGACATCGCCATCTGTAGACCTCGTCTTGCCATTGAGGTAGGTAGGCCCCAGGCCCTCTCTGAATTGCTGTCACATGCTACTACTCCAGGTCTCTGTTTCAGAAGTAATTGAAACCCCTCTAGCAACAAAGCAAATGACTATACTGCAGGACTGCCAGAAAATGCTAACTTGAGAACTTCTCTTAAGAGATTTCCTGTATGTTCTGAAGGTTTCAACCTCCTTCCAACCTCCACCCTGTTTAAGTAAAGGTTAACATTGGTTAACTAGGGCCTTCCTAGTTGCTGCCTCCATACTTCAAGGGAAAGTGTCTGTTTATTTTAAACTTTATGCATATATCAATGTATTTTTACCTTCTTTCTTTTTTGATTGAAAGCAGTGATTAACTATTTTCATTTCAGCTATTTTTTATTTTCTTACATCACTTGTTTTCTTACAATTTCTCCCTCATGTGTAGTCTTCATAATTCTCCCACCATCATGGCTCCTGTGATCATCAGCATAGTCTCTTGTGCTCTTCCCTCCTGTGTTGACCCCTCTTCCCTTCCCCTGCTGTGCGCTTCAATTCTATGGTTTGCTTGCAGATTTTATCATTTTCCTGACCCTTTTCCTTGATTTTCCTATGTTCCTTGTGTAAGCGAGACCATCTGATATTTGTCTTTTTCCTTCTGGCTCACTTTGTTTAGCATAATCCCTTCCAGCTCCATCCATTATGCTGCAAATGGCATAAATCATAGAATACTATGATTATATATATATCACATCTTCTTGATCCATTCACATGTTTTGTGACAATTAGGTCATTTTTATACTTTAGCTATTGTAAATAGTGCTGCAATAAACCATAGGAGTGCTGGTTTCTCTTCAAATTAGTGTTTTTGTGTACTTTGGGTATATTCTCAGGAGTGAAATCACTGGATTCTTTCCTGGTAAATCCATTTTTAGTGTTTTGAGGGTCCTCCAAACTAGGTAACTAGTATAATTTTAGCTCATGTTTATGGTAACTAGGATAATTCTAACTCATGTTTATTGAGAACTATTTCTGCCAAAAGTGATATTAATGTTCTCTATGCATTATTTCATTTATCCCCACAACCATATGAAGCAGGAACCATTGTTATCCTCACTTCATAGAGGAGGAGCCTGAGATACAGAGAGGTTACCTAATTTGCTCAAGGTTACCTAATTTGCTTTCCATAGTGGCTGGACCAGTATGCATTCCCACTAGTAAGTGTAAAGGGCTCCTTTTTCTCCACATCCTTGCCAGTTTTTTAAAGATGAGTGTTTTACAACCATCCCAGGCCAGGTAGTTTCACTGTCAGTTCTTACAGACAAAAAGATAATCTTGGAGACTTCAGTAGATTTGTACAGATCTTTATTGTTGAATCAGGGGACAGAACAGCTTTCTCTCAGTATTTCTTTGGCTTTCTCCTCTCTGTGTCATAGCGAGGCTGCCTTGATAACCCTTTACCCCCAGTTCAGGTGTTCACTTTCCTCTGTTTACATATGTGCATGCTCCAGGTGTCCATAATTACAGGTGCCCAAGACCACAGATACCAATGGCAGAAGATGAGTAAAAAGCAGGATAACTTCATTTAGCCTACAGTGGGCCATTCTCACTGGTTTGAGCTGGTATCCCTGTGAGATGGAATTTTTCCCAATATTAGATGAAAAAATAATCTTAATCTGTGGTTTTGATTTGCATTTACCTGGATTGTAAGTGATGTTGAACATTTTGTAATATACCTGTTGGCCATTTGCATTTATTCTTTTGAAAAGTGTCTTTTTAGTTCCAATGCCCTTTTTTTTGGGTTATTTTTATTGAGTTGTATAAGCTTTTTGTAGACCTTTCATATCTTTATTAATTGTATGGTGTGCAAATATTTTCTCCCATTTCATGGAGTTATTCTTTGTTTTGGTTACTGTTTCTTTTGTTGTGTAGAAGCTTCTTAGTTTGATGTAGTCCCTGCTGTTTATCCTTTCCTTCATCTCTTTGCTTCTGGGGATGAGTTTCAAAGATGTTTCTCAGATGTATGTCTCAGATGTATGTATCTGTTTTCCAGATGTATGTCTATGTTTTCTTCTATATATTTTATTGTTTCAAGTCTTACATTCAATTATCCATTTGAGTTGGTTTTTTCTTTTGATACAAAAGCCCTGTGAGATGGAATTTTTCCCAATATTAGATGAAAAAATAATCTTAGAGAGCAATATACCCAACTCATAAAATGGGAGTTCCGAGGTTTGGGGTTTTGGTCCAGTTCTACATTATCTACTCTGGTCAAATGGCATGTGATCTTGTCCCTGCCTAGTTGAATGAGAGTGAAGCATTTGATCTACTATGCAAGTACTTTAATAGTGGTAAAAGTGGCTATGATATAAGTGAAGAAAAGAGGATTAATTCCAGCTAGAGGGTTTGATAATTTCATGGAGGAGATAGCATTTCTGCTGGGCCTTGAAAAATGGATGAGTTTTTAGTGCAGAGGTAGGAAGGCCCTTGCAAGCAAAAGACTGTGCAAAGAGGCCCACAGAAAAAGGGTTTGAGGGTTGTGCTGAGGATGGGAAATTACCCAGAGTGGCTGGGAGATCTTTTCAACAAGGGAAGAAAATGAGATTTCTAACTGGAGGAAAGGTACTATCAGAGATGGTCAGTGATGAATCAATAAAATAAAGTGTGAAGAGTAAGTGCAGGAAGACCAAACATAGGTATAAGGAAATTAGCTGTAGAGTTTGGGTCAGAATGGCAGTGAAAGGAGAGTAACTGAGGGGGCACAAACAAGATTCCCAGGAGGGGAAGGAGTGACTGTTACTCTGTTCTTAGCATCCACTCCAGGTTTTGTCCTTTCCCACAGATGCCAGAGACCACAGAGCAGTATCAACCTCTTACTGCCTCAGTCAGCATTCATAACTCCCTAGATGCTCCTATGAAGGACTGTGTGATCACCATTTTTGGAAGGGGGCTCATTCACAAAGAGAGGAGCTACAGGTAAGAGACTGCAAACTTCTTATCCCACTGACACATCTCAATAGGTCATTAAGGAAGGAGCTAAAGGACTAGAGCCTCTCTTATCCTGGAACCACCATGTCTAAGGGGAGAGAAGTGAGGGACTCTGTGTATCCTTTGGGTGCCCACCTGACCCTGATTGCTACCCTAGTCATGCAGGAAAAGCCCAGAGATTGCTGGTGATTGCAGGTGATGGGGCTAAGGCTGGCTACTAGAGAATATGTTTAACTTTTTCTAACTTTTCTCTTAAAACTATGATTTTGTGATTCATCTATATATGTCCAATCCAGTGCTTCTACTATATAATGTTCCACACATCTCCCAGTTCCTACCACTTCACTCCACAGAATGTCTCCAACACCACTATACTGTTGCAATGACCATCTTCACACATGACCTTCACATACTGGTTGGAAACTTTGGGGGAGGCAGTGATTATTTCTATCAGGAATGGAACTGCTAAGATAGGTCTTGGTTTGACCAGGTATTATCATATTTGTTTGCATAATGGCCAGAGGAACCTATATGCTTTCCAACAGTATATGACAGTTCCTATATTCCTACCACTCCTCCAATACGTAGCTTTTGTCCAGTCTAATAGAAATGAAATACTACCTTGTTGTGTTAATTTGCAATTCTTCATGTTTGTTAGCCTTTCCTGTTTCCTCCTTTAATCTTTATTTACTTTCCTTTTGGTGTTCCTGTCTTTCTTCCTTGTTGATCTATAGGGGTTCTCTGTATAGTCTAAATATTAGTACCTTGTTGGGTTTTCAAATGTCACAAAATCTTTCATTAGTCTCCTCTCATTATGCCTCTGTGTCTTGTGTTGAATACACAGTATACAGTTGAGGGTTCACAAGGCCTACACTTATCTTCCCTGAGGTCCTTGATAGGTTGACTGGTTACTGAGCCATTGGATCAGTCTCATGAAATTCAGTGAGTTGATTGCCAACAAGTTGAGAAGAAGTGCTGCCAACATTTTAACCAGATTTTTGTGGTCTCGTGGATCAATTTTAGAGTGAAGCTCCTCAAAAAAAATTCATACTTTTCCCTCAGTCACCAAAAGAAAGCTCACAGGCAGGCCTGAGGGTTGCTGAAAGAGTTGCAAACATCACTTTTGAACATATTAGCATCTTCTTAAAATGCCTATTCCTACCTGTTGCAGTTAGCAATCAGTAAGTGAGGGTTCCAGAAGCATAGCGCTTCAAAACATATCCCAGACCCATTACTAAAAAACTGGACCAGACTGAAGTCACTGGTGATAAAAGAAACAACATATGCAGTATGGAAGCTCTTAGAATAGGATGCTTCTCTTCTCAACCATGCAACTGCTCACTATAGGGAAGCTCCTGTCATCTAGCCCCTTAAAACTGCCTCTTTTCAATAGCAAGGTTTATAGATGTTCATTTCTTTATAGTCGCGTTTTTTCAGTACAGAAAGATTAGAGTCACTGGAAGTAGCTAAGTAATGAATCTGGACAGAACTACCTTTTCTTTTTATTGCAGGGTAGGCTCAGTGCGGCCTGGAAATACCTTGCGTATCCAATTCTACTTCACACCAACGCACTTGGGGCTCCAGAGGCTCACTGTGGAGATGGACTGCAACATGTTCCAGAACCTAACCAACTACAGAAATGTCACTGTGGTAGCCCCTGAACTTCCAGCTTAAACTTCCAGCTCTAGTATCACTGTCCCCAAGCACCCCCTGGAATCTGAAATCTAAAACCAAATTAGTTATCAGATAAATGAAGCTCTCTTCAAATTGAGAAGAGTGAAAAAGAATAAAACTAGGTTCCTATAAATCAATAGAAAAGGACACTTATTTCTGTTATCCCAGTTTAAGGCAGCTGTGAAGACTAGCTGTATTAGAATATGTCTTAGGGCCCTCCCTGGTGGCGCAGCGGGTTAAAGCACAGCACTAAGAAGCTAAAGCCACTTCCACATGAGTTCGATCCCTGCATGGTGACCACATGGTGCGGCAGACCTCTCCTGACCTGCCTGCTGCTCCCCTCGGCAGTGTACTTCATCGATCTGCCTGTTCTGCTCCCCACTCTGTCTTTGGTGGAGCCTCTCACCTCCCCTGAGCCTCTGGCCTGTACCCCAGTTCTGTGTGCACAAATAAATAAAATCTTTAAAAACAACAACAACAACAGCAACAAAGAATATGTCTTAGAATAAAAATTCTAGAATGTTTTAAAACTACCAGGCTTCTATGACAAAAGGAAGCCTTTGAAAAAGTTCTCAGATAAATACATTCATATTTTGGGGGTTCAAGGATTTTCTTTACTATTTTATTGCTCATTAATGTATTCATTAACTTATAGGTAAGAAAAGAACCTAACATGTTAATCATTGTTATATTTTTAATGAAGTGGGACAATGTCACAAGAATGTCACTTAAATGTGAAATACAGAGAAACAAAACAAAGGATCAGGTAAAGCCAAACTAGTAACAAATTCTAGAAATCTGACTGTAGGACTAAGGCTGCTGGAGGGGGTTGAGAGGGAAGGAAAGGACAAAGTGGGGAAGAAGCATAATGGATTATGGTGCTGAACTAGTGGTGAACTGTTGTTTTGGTGGTAGGTATGGTGTGATACCACCTGAAGGGGGAGAACCTTTATCTAAATCACATACAACATTATAAACCAATGCCTCCTCAATAGGAAAAAAAATGGACTTTTTTAGGTAATCCTAAGATTACACTGATCAGTGTTATCCCTGACCACTATCTTTAGAGATGTACAGATGACAGAGTGAAG